TCTCACATTCAGAATTAAAATATTTTAACATAGTAATTAATGTTGAGTTTATATTGCAACTTCATGAACAACCCTGTAAGTGACTGTAAGTGACTAACCATCACCACAGTAGCCTAAAGATATTAATAGAAAATCTTTCTATTTATAGTGAACCTATCTGTGTAATTGGCTGTGGCTCTGTAGTGGAAAGTAAATGTTTTTGTGCCCATCATGTCTTGGAATACCATGAGGAGGAGGAAGTCTGTGGTACCTGGATTGCCTCCCCTAACCCTCTCACTTAACGGTGATGTAAAAGGAGATTTCTGGGGGACTGGCTGAGCTCAGTGCCTGAAAAAGCACTTTGATTTAAATGTCTTTAATTTTTTGTGTTTAAAAAAATAAATATTAAAATTACATACTGAAACTTACTGTAACAGCTTCTGGTAGGCCTTCTTCAACTCGATACGATTCCTTTGCAGCTACGTGGTGGTGTGCAGCATTCTGGGAAGCAGCTTGCTGGAGCTGGTGCAGCATGGGCCACCACATGAGGGTGTTAGTTCAGAAACCAGCTCTAAACTTACTGCATGCTTAATAGGTGTTACTGCACGTTCAGTCCAGCTTTTGTCTTGTCCTCTCTGAATGCATTGTGAACTAGCTGGGGGAGAGATTAGTTCTTCACGGGCTAGGCACTAGCTAGCAGGAAAATAAAAGGGTAAATATTCAGCTTTCATGAAAGAGAAACTGGGGACTCCTTTTGTGGAAGGTGTAGTTGGATGACAGTACCTCCGTAGAAAGTACACCAGAGCACTTGCCCTGACAGCAGGGGATCCTCGTTCCTGCGGGGCTCCTATCCTCGGGGCTGGAGGCACTTCTGCTCCTTACTCTTTTATCTTCTGTTACGTAGCAGAAATGGGAAATTTCTGGAGGAGGGGAGCATGGCTCTGGGTACAGTGGTCCGTACGGCTTCTGGTCATTGCTCACACTGTTGCTGCTTTATCTGGTAACTTCAGCAGAAAATTCAGGTGTAGTCCTGCAGGACGGACCGGTTCCCCAGGCCCTCTGTGTCCGCCTATGAGGTGGGGAGCCTATGAGGGGTCATCCCCAGAATTAAATGCTGCTAAAAGCAACTTTATTCGTACAGGCATCTTAAGTAGGCTAGCGCCAGGGCTCTGCACCGCAGGAGAGGCAGGGCTGGCTGCCTGGGGAGGTAGAACTTTCTCAGAGCATCCAGGGGCGGTGAGGCAGCATCTGTGGGTGCTGTTCAGTGAGGCAGGCTTGCTGGAGATCACAAAAGGTCCTACCCCAGCTAGATCTGTCCTGCTTGGAGAGGTGGCTTTCACCTGCAGACCTCACCGCCATATAAAGTTTCTCTTTAATAGCTGAGCGAGCAGTGGAGGCGTGAGAGGCTTGCCCGAAACAGCAGTGGAAGTTGAAGGCAGTGTCTCATTACTGGGAAGTGCTTGCTTTGCAGGAGCTCTTTGCTTTTTGTTTTGAGAAGATGCGTTCACAAATGGCAGCTCCAAGCACCTGCGTTTCACACACTTTAAGAGAGGTCTGTGAGTACCGCCCAGGGTTTGGGAAGCAGAGTTGTTTGAGATTTAATTCTTCCACTGTTCCAGACCTCAGGTGAAGCGTACTGGAATAACAGACCACTGTGTCATTTGTTCAGTTACTGGTTTGTGAGAGACCGCTGCAGGTGGCACTGCCCAGTCTGCCTGAATTCACTTGAGGTGGTCATGATGTGGGTCGGCATTTCCAAACGGGCGGCTGAAAATGAGGTTCTTGGACTCGGCTGTCTGCACCAACATTTGAAAGGCTCGTATTTCAAGCAGTGCTAAGGATGTCCGACGTAATGTGGACTTTGGTGGATCTTCTGTCTTTCTTCCAGAAGATGACATCACTTTGTTGCCTAAAAATAATTAGGATTTAAATTTTTGTCCTGCTTGTTCTTATCTGAAGATTTTGGTCCTAGACCTGCACATAGATTAGATATTAGGAAGAAATTCACTGTGAGGGTGGTGAGGCACTGGAACAGGTTGCCCAGAGAGGTTGTGGATGCCCCATCCCTGGAAGTGTTCAAGGCCAGGTTGGATGGGGCTTTGGGCAACCTGGTCTAGTGGAGGGTGTCCCTGCCCATGGCAGGGGGGTTGGAACTAGATGACCTTTAAAGGTCCCTTCCAACTCAAACCATTCTGTGATTCTATGATAAAATGTTTCCAGGTATGTTAACAAGACTGTGGGAACCCCTAATCCAAGCACTAGGCGAGAATTAGTGATGTGCCCATGGCAGAGGAGTGGGTTTCTGCACTTTCTGCATTTGATTATCACCAAGGAGTCAGAATCAACTTCAGCCGTTTCACTGAGGCTACCTGTATTTTATCTTTGTCAACTGCAGAACATACATGATACTAAAGTACTCAAGTGTTGCTTAGTTTCCCAGTAACTGTCTTTCAGCTCAGACATATTTCATATGTGCTTAATATGAGGCAGAATTTGAGACCAGAACTAGAAGGATGATTGCAGCAGTCTGTTCACTGAAACACAGAGGGGCGAAGCAAACCTTTAAACTTCTCTGCCTGCAGGCTAATCCTACCCGAGATACTGGTACTTCTAGACTCTGATCTTGAAATTAGTTTTTTTCTTGAAGGTTTAGCTGCTTTTTGTCACTCCTTCCTTGACTTCTCCCTGGAGCCGGGGAACAACCACCCAAGGAAGCTCTGTTCTGCTGAAAGGTGCTCATCAAGCTGTTGTGTGATGGAGGGTGGTATGACAATCAGCTGATGCCATTAAATGGTACATGGTACCCCAGGATGTGCTGAAACCAAGTTCTCAGTAGTAAACCAAGAGGAAGGCAGTTGCTTTAGTAGGTGGCGATGAGCTGGATCCTCAGCTTGCCACTTGTCTTGCACATCTGCAAACCCCAATGATCCCAAACATACAGACTTCAGTGTTTCTCCCTCCCCACCCCCTGCTGAGTTTCCAATATTATTATTCTATTCAGGGATGTCATCTTCTGTCCTTTGCTTTCCCTTTTTCTTGGAGGCAGTGTGTAACTGAGATTCTGCCTTTGCTTCCCGCTCCCCCTCCCAAGCTCTTTCTACTCCCCCTCAAACATTAACTACTTTTGCATTTTTTTGCTCAGTCTTTTCCTTCCTGAACTTCCCTACCAGCATATCCAAGTCTCTGTAAAACCCCATTCTCTCTTTCCATAGAAATAATCTTTCATTTCAAATATGTAATGTGACATAGCGGCTCAGCTCTTTGCTTAAGGACTATTTCCCTAACACTTTTTATTCCTGTTGAACAGCTTTTTAAAAAAAAAAAAAATTCCTCAGCCCATCCCTTACTGTATGTGTTTTGGCACTTCAAATTTGGGATAGGCACACTGCTGTGGACATAAATCTGCAACGTTCAAAGTGTGCTGATGGCCTTGTTTGTTTTTTTTTTCAGTCAGTAAATGTTCTCAGTCCTATTTTCTTTCCTCGGCTCAGGGTTCATGCCGTTCTCGATGTCCGCTTTTGTTTGATGCTCTTGCTGCTGTGATTTTGTTGCTGTAACTCAGTACTCCTCCACAAGGAGCCGTGGGCTGGATGGAGCGTGTGGAACGCGTGGGCAGTAACTCAGCTCTGACTTTATAATGTCTCATTAGCTTCCTTAGTGCAACAGAAGATTTTTTGCTGCTGGGAGAGCGTTAGGTGTGAGTGAGAGCAACCTAGCTGAAGAGGCAGCCAAAGCCTCTGAAGAAGGCGGCCCAAGCACTATTTCTTAGGCAGGCATGAGTTTGTTTTGTGCCTTGGGCATGCATTTGTCACGCTGCAGTTGCTCGGACTTACGTGAACATTCTCTGTGTTGATGTTTTTGGTGTTTCAGGGTTGATGAAGGCTGTAAACAAAATCCTGAGTAAAATTCAAGTGGCTGGTTTACAGCCTGGTAGCGTGAGAAACTGCCTCTCTACATGCTGCCCTCTGGTCTTTGAGATCGCGTGGAGGGGAGCAGCATGTGATCCACCTTTGGCGTTTGGCCTTGGTCACACCATGCTCTGTTACCCTCCGGATGGGATCTGGAGCTCCAGCTCCTTTCCCCAGGCCTGGCAGGGACGGGTAGGCTGGGGCTGGGGGAAGTTCTGCTTGCTCTGCCCTAGGTGTGTGCTGGGTGCTGTTTGCATCAGAGCTGAGGCAAAAGTCAAGTGTCCGCCTCTGCTTTCTGTCTGCAGCGACTAAGCTGGAGAGCTGCTCAATACTCGCCGAAGTCTAGAAAAATCAGGTAACTTTGCAGTGAAAATGCAACTGCTGGTCTAGTTCTGCAGAACTGTACTGAAGTGTCTGTGAGTAGGGAAGGGAGATGTATGGTCTGGTGTGGGAAGGGGAAGCGACTTCTCACAAGTGTGGGATACAACCGAGAGTAGTAAGGTAGCAGTGCTGGACTGGAGCTAGGAGAAAGCCTTCTCTGGGGCCTTTTCCAGATCAATCTGGAATTGATCTTATCAGCATACACACCACAAATACAAGCACGGAAAAAATGACTGGTTCAGCTCTTGAATCACATGAACTGGCATAGCTGTGTTCTTTTCAGTGCAGTTGTACCGATTTCTTAGTAGATTAAAAATGTTTTCCAGCTTCAGACAGACTGGAAATTTAATTCAGCAACTGTAACTTAACTTGAAAGCGAGAAATAATGGCTATTGCCTCTGGACTACACACTAATGTACCATAACCAAGGGGCTCTTTTCTAGCTGTAGCTCCTGGAATGTGACCAAGCAAACAAGATTTTTGCAGAAATTAAGTAATCTATCAATAACAAAAGTCATGAATCTAAGTCTGAGATGCTAAGAGAAGTAAATTTGGGGAAAACCAAGCATCTAAACAAGACTTATGGGGAAAACATATTTCAGAATAATATCTCTGATAATTAACAAGGTACCCATGGCTTCATATGGGTTAGACTCCTGTTTAAACAACAAGACCTTTAATGGTCTACTGCAGTTACGTATTAGTCAAACTCACGAAAGTAACAAAATTAATGAAATTTTATTGGCAAAAATCAAGTTGAATGTGACCTATCTAATTCCACAGAAGCAAATCTCAGTTTAGTTTATCAAAATACTTCAGTTTTCCAGCTGGATCTGGAATTATCTGTGCAAGAAAGAAAATGAAAACATTAGTCTAACAACAAAACCACACAAACACAACAAACTATAAAACCAGAATAGCATAGTATTTCATAATCATAGAATCACAGAATGGTTTGGGTTGGAAGGGACCTTAAAGATCATCTAGTTCCAACCCCCCTGCCATGGGCAGGGACACGCTACACTAGACCAC